TCCTAGAATCTGTGATCTTACCTAGAAAGGCGCCACTAAAGGAATTTTCAGAAGTGGAAGGCCGCTGATTGTCTAGTAGAATAGAGAGTAGGTGGCCGGAGGGCAGGTGCAGCTAGGAGAGAAGATGGCTGAGTCTGAAGAGGAAAAGTTGGAAGGCTTCCCAGAGGGCTGCTGCTGGAAAACGCAGGTGTGAGGGGAATAAGTACATCTAGGACCACCCCAGGGAAGCAGCTGGCCTACAGGTAACAGCTGGACTGCAGCTGGTGAGACGCAGGGTGTCCAGGAGAAGGAGAAGCCAGGGAACTAGCAGACTGAGAGGAGGCTGGCAGAGGTCAGGACACCAGCTGCAGGTCTTTGAAGAAGGAAAAGTGGGTAGCTGTCGGCTCTGAGAAGTGAAGGAAGGGACCCAGCAGATTTACTTGGCCTGGGGTGTCAGCATTGAGGAATTGGCCTGAGTACTCAAGTGAGAGGTTAGAAAAGGAAGGCAGCCCCCATGTTCAGACAGGATTGTGGGAAGAAGCAGGGTCAAGGTCAAGAAGAGGTTTTGCAGGTCTGTCCCAAAGCTCATGGTAAGCCATTAGCAGAGAGAGGTGAAGATGAAGGAGCACCATAGTCTGTGTAGGTCTCTCCTGCTCTTAGTCCTGAAGTTCTCCTACCCCCAGTCTTGACCACTTGGACACTGGATGTGTAGAAGAAGAGGGAAGGGAAATGGCTGGCAAATACTGGACACAGGTACAAGAGTCTGTAGGCCAGCTATCCATGCTGGATTGAGGCTGGGTTGAAGAGGGCAGGATGCTGTGTCCTGAGACGACATAGAGACAGTGGTGTCACCTTTGTGCTGCCTTCCATCCCTGCAGCTTACCTCCTGTTTGTCTTTGCAGTCCCCATCCTGTGAAACCCCTCACTGCTGCCCCAGTGGAGGCTAGTCCCGACAGGAAACAGCCCCGTACCAGCCTGAGCACAGCCTTGAGCAGTGGACTGGAGAAGCTCAAAACTGTCACATCTGGCGGCATCCAGTCTGTGCTTCCAGCATCCCAGCTTGGCTCAACTGTAGACGCCAAGAGGCTGAAGGTGAGGTGCAGCAAGGTGTTAGGGGCATCTGAGAGAACAGGTGGTACGATGGACAGAGGCCAAGTGATGCTGAGGGCAGAGCAGGTAGCTGGTAGCTCCCTGTGCCACAGCTCTTAAGTGGAGAGGACATCTCTAGCTATAGAGATAGGCTGCTGCTGAGTCTGGGGTTCTACAGTGGGGAAAAAGGCTTGGGTGGGCTAGCCTGTCTGGTGGAAGGTCTGGGCCGCCCCTGCTTAGTTCCATCCTATCTGGCCATAGGATTCTGCTGTGCTGGACCAGTCGGCCAAGTACTATCACCTGACTCATGATGAGCTCATTGGCCTGCTCCTGCAGCGTGAGCGTGAGCTGAGCCAGAGAGACGAGCATGTGCAGGAACTGGAGAGCTACATTGACCGGCTGCTGGTGCGGATCATGGAGACCTCACCCACACTGCTGCAGATCTCCCCTGGACCCCCCAAGTAACCCTTCACTCCATCCCTTGAGGGATGGTGAGGACCTGTGTCATACCCTCCGCTGACTGCTCTCACCTGAGTAGGGCAGAGCCTGCTCTCATGATCACTCTCTGCTACCCTCCCAATCCTGCCTCTGCTCTGGCTGCTGGAAGGGGGCCTTTGAACTCCACTGGAGCCTTGGGTCTTTCCCACCTGCCCATTTTCACACTCAAGGTTATGGGGCTCCCCAGAGAACTGGAACAAGGTTGTTAGCTGTCAAGATGGAGCAGGAGTGGTTCTGGGGTGAGCTGAAGGATCTAGGGCAACACTGTTGACAACACAGACTTAGTCACCCCACAAGGCTGGTCAGTTGTTTCTTCTCTTGACTGACTCTTCATCTCCATTTCCCTCTGACACCTGGTGGGCCTCCTAGGATCAACTAGGACAGGGATGGGGACTAAGCTGCTTGCTTGTCTGTGCACTGTAGACAACCAGGGCACCTGCACCTCAGCCTGTGCCTGGACCCTAAGAGCAAGGAGCCTGTGTGTTTTAGTCTTGTCTCTGTCTAGAGCTGCGTGTGAGCATGTGTGCAGGGTGGTGGTGGTGTGTGCCTGTGTGTTCTTCAGCTGCTCCCTGCCCCTCTTCAGACCCTCCCACTCCATATCCCAGTAGTGGTGGGAGGTGGGGCTGGACGAAGAGAATGACTCTTTGCTCCTGAGGTCCTCCCTGCCTCCCTAACATGAGACCCCCCAGGTTGGGGTTTTGGGCTGCTCATGTTTTGTGGACCAGGCCTTCATGTCTGTCATTACAACGTGTCAGATGCCAAAACTGTGCGGCTATGGGCTCAGAACATTTGGAAACCAGTTAAAATGTGCCTTTTGTGGGTGAGGACAGGAGCCTCTGGAGGTAGATGTCTCTCTGACCATGGTGTCCCCTCTCTCCTGTTGAGCACATGAAAATGGCTGTTAGGGTCCTGAAAGGGGGTGTGGACCAGGCTCTTTGCTACTCTGAGAAGCACCTCAGCTAAGCCTCTGGCCAATCTGCTGCCACCTCCTAAGCCTTCCTCCCACTTCCTGGTTCTCCCTTGACCCTTATTTGGAGCATCCTGGGATAAAAATCTAGTGCACAGTAGGTCTGGGGCTATCCTGCACCTTGTGTCTGGCCTTGGGTCCCAGTTGCTGGACCAGTGGGTTTGCCAGGAAGTAGGAGGCGTCCCTCTGCCTTAGGAGACACCTGTACTTAGGAACATGCCTTGTGGCTCTCCAGCTGTTCTGTCCCTGCTGTACAGTTCCCCTGCTTACCAACCCTTCCTTGCCTGGCTTGGCTGAAGTGCATTTTGAAGTCAAGTATCTACCCTGTGGTCCAGCTTCTAGTTTGCTTGTGAATACAGCCGGTCTCCCCAAGGCTCAGCGGAGGTCCTCGGTGGCTGTGCATTACAAAAGGTTGTGAAGAAGGTGAGATGCTGACAAAAGATGCTTTTGGCCCAGTGGAGAGGCAGTAGCTTTCAAGCTAAAGACGGGGTTCACTCAGAACATCTCAGAACATTCTCTGTGGACAATGTCAGTCTTCTGCCAGCATAGAGCAGATGAGCCCACAGTGGGGTCCACCACCGTGCAGTTACCAACTATAGGTCAGAGATGAGGAAAGTAGCCACCAGTTCCCAGAGTTCTGGGGTGGGGGACAGTCATTGGGTGTTGGAGGTGTCTCTTGAGGAACTGAGTTCCTCTGCTAGGTAGTCTTCTGGGTTTTACTTGGTCCCAGCCCTCTCTCGTCTTTCATCCATTCCTGCTGTTTGGCGTCCTTATATGGCCAGGGCAGGGATGTCTTCCAGAGAGGTCCTGAACTGAGGCCAGGGTTTTGCTCATCATGCCTGCTCCTTACCACACACTGCAGAGTGCAGCTGGACAGGCAGCGGGCAGGCACAGCTCCGCCCTGGCCTTTGTCTTCCTAGTTGAAACTCCAGTCTATAAAGAGCTTGTTCTTCATGTTTCGAGCACTTTATGAAGAATAAAAAGTTCGTGTACTGCAGCCAGCTTGTGTGTTTCTGTTTTGAAAAGAGTGGGGAAGGAGACTGCCTACGGAAGAGGGCAGTGTGGTTCTCAGGTGACAGCGCCACCGCCCTGAAATCACAGGCAGCACTGCCTCATGGCCTGTGTGCCTAGGATGCCTGTGTCACAGAGCATTGATCACAGGTGCATTTAGTGAGTGCTGGGGCTGGGGGTGGTGGATAAAGAGGGCAAGTTTTGTGATTTCTGTTCTGAAGCCACTGAAGGAAAGGTAAGATACAAACCAAAAATAAGAACTGTTCTTTGGTTCATTTGAGTTCTGTTCCAGTTCAGCTATCAGTGAGTGCATGAGCACGTGGGCCACCAATGGCTCATGAATTGTCCAGAAGGACAGGAGGGCAACCCCAGGTTACCTACCTCTGGATCCCACCATGAGACAGAGGCTTCCCTAGAGTCAAAGAGTTATGTCCTGTGTGAAACCAGCATCTCCCCACTCTCCATGCCCAGTGTGGCTCATAACCGGATCACTGAGCTGGGGCCACAGTTGCCATTTGGTGCCATTCTGCAGGGGTGTGTGTTTATTACCTTGGTGTTCTCTGCAGCTCCCAGTGCACCCCTGTTGCTGGTCCTCGGTAATTAGGCTTGGAGGGAACCTCCTTAGAGCAAAAGAAGCAGGGTCTTGGGGTGCTTAAATTCTGGGTATTTAACTCACCCAATACATTTGAGTGCCTAGTATGAACCCTCCTATATCTGCACTAAAGATTTATGCTCCCCCCCCCACACACCATACAGTAGGAAAGATATTTAAGCTCATGGTTTGCTAGCTGGCACCTGTAATCCTGGGACTTGGGAGGCAGAGGAAGAAGGATCACAAGTTTGAGGCCAGCCTGTGCTACAGTTCCAGGCTAGCCTGAGCTACGTGCAAAGAGGCAAAGAGAGTGCTGCGTGGTACAGAATCGGGAAGCAGGTTGGATGGAACCAATGAACGCTTATGCAGAACCTAGAAAAAGAATCGCCTCAGGCCATGGTAAAAAATGAGTAGAATGTTAAAGGGTCACAGCAGCTTGAGCATGGCTTGTTTCGGAGAATGGCAGAATGGCTGGAGGCAGAGTTTTGATAGAAGAAACTGTAGGGAAATCCCGCAGTGCGACTCCTTGCTGAAGGGCTTCCGAATTAACCCCACTCTGCCTGGAGTCCTTGCTTGTTTGATCCCGGGTCGTGCCCGCGTTTATAGGGGTTCCTCGTTTTAAGATTCAGGCCTGCACGTACACCCGCACATGCATTTGCATACATTTCCAGAACTGTGGATGCCAGCTGCTTTGGCGGCGGGAACCGAGACCAGGTCTGAGTGGGTGCAACTCACCGCAGTCTGGGGTTGTCTGGCTCAGAGCAGGGGAAAACTACACTCCCCAGAAGTCCCTGCGCGCCCGGTTTGCTGCGGTTGCTCACGGCCAATCGGGAGAGGCAACTGTGGCGGGGGCCGAGGAGGGACATTTTAAAAGGGCTGGAGATTGCGGGCGTCAGTGGCCATGGCGGATACAGCGACTACAGCCTCGGCGGCGTCCGCGGCAGCCAGTTCCCCGAACGCCTCCACCGATGCTCCCCCTTTCCAGCTGGGCAAGCCCCGCTTCCAGCAGGTGAGGCTCGGGCTGCGGCCTGCAGGTGGGAGGGAGACACAGGGGAGGGCACGGAGCCAAATCTCTTGCAAAGTCACTTCAGCCCGAGGGTCTCCAACCCGCGGCCACCAGAGCCTACAGCTAGTGCGGGGGACCTTGGCTGTAGCCGCTCCTTTCCTATTGGACAACCGAATGGGCGAGGTCTCCCTCTCTGATTTCCTATTGGTGGGTGGCACAGTCACTCGGCTGATGCCCGGGCCCTGGCACAGCCCCCGTCCGAGTCGCTCGGTGATTGGCCACGCGGGTCGCGGTCTCGGGTCCGAGAGGTTCTGAAGGGTCGCTCTGGCAAATGCGCCCTAGGCGCAAAGTTCCAGTCTTGTGCTGCAGGGGCCGGCGGTGTGGCCGGTGCGCTTCTCAACTTCTCCCCGAGTGGGACTGACCCTTCTTGTGAGCTGCGGGACAGTCTCCAGGCAAAACTCCCTGGTCACGCCCCACGGTCATGCTCCGGTTCCTCAACCTCCAGCAAGGTGCTGCGTGTGCCCTAGGATGGGGCCGCGTGCACCGGTACAGCGATCTGATCTCTATCCGGGGGCCGGGGCTTCAGTGATGAGACCAGCCGACCAGCTAGTACGCTCTGCGGGGATGCGGCTGGGACATCGCGGAGAAAGCCGGGTGCGGGGAAACGCTGTGTCATTCTCCGGAGCTGCCGCGCTCCTCCCAAGGGTCCCAAGCACGCCCCAGTCCTACACGCGCTGCTCCCCGGCGCTGCGCTGCGCTGGCTCTCATCCACACCCGCTTGGGTTCTTCAGGGTGCACTGTGACTATGATTAACCTTATCCGGGGACACACAAACCCGAGAACCCCGCAGGGCATCACTAACTCGGCCATGGAACCAGAGGACCAGGTCTGTGAGCCAGGAGCCTGGGAGCTTAGTTACAACGCTGCAGACCTGACTGCCTCCAGAGCTGAAGTGACCCTGGGCTTGCCAGGAGAAGGGGCAGCAGATGTGCTAGAGAAAACTTTGAAGGAAGAATAGGAATGCCACAAAGGTGGGATGTGGCTGGGCATAGAGATGAGAATGGGTCCGAATTCAGTCCCCCAACTTCGTCGAGCTGAGCTTTCTGAGAATACGTCCCTGGAGTTTTTAAATGGGACTTGGTTTCTTTTAAAAATAGACTGTTTCAGCTTGGAGGAATCTGGAGAGACTTAATGTCCCAGCTAGTGTAAAAAAATGCCACCCATTGAGCCGCTGTTGGGGGTGCTTGTGTCTAACCTTGGAGTGACCCGCCATTTGTCCCCACCCCATGCACTCCCGACTGGGAAACACTTGCTGTCTTTGGAACCACCACCCCAGTGGTCCTATCAGAACGCCAAACTCCCCTCTGCACCCCCAGTGGGAACTTCACAGATGCAGATTACTCTTTTAAAGTATTCTCTTGGTCCTTTTCCTGATAAAAGGGTTGATCTTATCCCAAGGCAATTGGGCTTTTAATAAGCGACCTGAGTAAGGGTTTCTTTCTCCCGTGTCTGGTATCTGGTATCTGGTATCTGGATGGCGCTTGGGTCATCCGTCTATCCAACATTTACTGAGTACCTTGTATTGGCTTTCTGCTCTGGGCTATTCACTCTTGTGGTGTGTGTTTGGGGAGGATTAGTTCCTGCTGCTGTTCACATCTGTGGAGTATGCAGTAGCCTCTGCTGAGGCTTTCTCGGCTGGCAGCCTAGTGGCTGCCGAGAAAGAGTGCTGAGCAGGTCTGATTCACCCATGCTGAGAACTTCTGTTTCTACCACACCTGCTTCTCCCTCTGCAAACAGCTCAGCCCGACACCCAAGAACTAGAGTCATAAACCTAGATTCTCCTCTGTAATTCCAAGCTCTCTGAGTCCAGCCAAAGGCTGTGATCTCTTCTCCCCAACAGCTCTCATAGCTGCCCCTCCAAAGCTAAGCCAGTCCACACCATTTATTCTTTGGCTAACATAGAAACCTAACATAGAAAAGGACAGGTTCCTACGTTTCCAGTCCTGCTCTGGTCCTCTTCCAACTCCTCCCTTTCGTCTATGGCAGAGTCCCAGCAATGCAGGTCTGATCAGGTGATTCCCATACACACAGCATCCTTTAACAGCTTGCTGTGGTTTTCTCTACTTTTGAAATATAGACCTCACATCTGAAGGGACCCAAAGTTTTGCAGGGCCCACTCCATGACATTTGACTCCCCACTCGACCCTTTCTTTCCACCATTCTGGCTGTTGTTAAGCCTCAGGTCTATCCTGTTCTCTCCCATGTCTGGGTTACCCACTGGAACATCTCTTATTTCCTGCTCTCCACTCTTTTTGAGCTCTTCCTCATCCCCACATTGTCCACACATTATTTCTGCAAAGGAGCCTCACACCTTCTTTATTGCCCTATGTTTTCCTCTTTGATCATATAGTTCATAGGACCAGTGACTGTGCCTACCTTGTTGTTAGGTTATCACATTAGCGTAATGTCTAGATGGATGAGGTGTGTCACAGAACTTTGTGAATGATTGGGGCTCTCCAGCCGGGTTTATGAAATTGAATGAAATTGTTACAAGCCTTTGATTGTGACAATTGGCCGAATTGTATCTAAATTGTTCCTTAGGAAGTTTGGGAGATGGCAACATTGTTTCAGTCTTTAAGAGGTAATTCTAAAGGCAGTAGTTTACCACATACTTCTGAGAGGACAGGTTCCTTCTGTAGATGGTCTGGTCTCAAAATCTCCATGTAGCCAAGGATGACGTTGAATATCTGACCCTCCTGTCTCCACCTCCAGGTATGAACAGTCATGACATTTATATGGTACTGGAGATAGAATCCAGCTTTGCACATGCTAAGTAAGTCCTCCATCAATGAAGCTACATCCCTTGCCTGGACCCAGTCATCTTCATCTGGATCCTGAGTCCTGTTCTCAGTGTTTGGTACATAGTAGGTGTGTAATGACTGCAGATAGTGGACTACACTCACCTGGCAGATGTCTGCGGACACTGGTTCATAAACCATTATCCATTCCTAGAGCCCCACCCCCTCCTCCAGGGTCTCACATAGTCTCTATTGGCCTCAAGCTTCCTGTGTAGCCACAAATGACCCTGAACTTCTGGCCTCCACCTCTGAAGTGCAGGGATGACAGGTGTTCCTACAGCACACCTAGTTTTATGGGGTGCTGGGAACCAAACCCAAGGCTTTGTGCATGCAAGACAAATAAACACTCTACCAATTGAGCTATAGCCCTAGTCCTAGTGTTTTTTTGTATGATTGGGAACTGAGGTCTCGATTGGCTCTGGAAGCCCTTCCTCCCTCCCCTGATCAAAGGTCTCTCTATAAAGGAGGGCAAGGGGGAGAGGCACTTGAGCAGGATCAGAGGGTAGGGAAAGGGTGATGGATTGTTTTTTTCTATGGCTACTTTTCTCTACATAAGATGTTGATGGTGACCAACCATTCCCTACCCCTTTTTTAATATAGGCTTATGAAAATTTTACAGCCCTTTGTGACAGGTATAATCACCTCTGATTTTCAGGTAATAAAGTTGCAGTTCACAGATAGATTCAGTGACTTCCCAGGCAGCCTAGTTCCAGAGTCCAGGCTTATTTATTTACTGACAACTTTTTTTCTTTCTTTCTTTCTTTTTTTTTTAAGACAGGGTTTCTCTCTGTAGTCTTGGCTGTCTTGGGACTCACTTTGTAGACCAGGCTGACCTCGAATGCAGAGATTCACTTGCCTCTGTCTCCTGAGTGCTGGGATGAAAGGCGTGGACCACCACCTGGCTACTGAGTTAATGTTTTATGGTCTTCTAAAGCAAACCAGGAGGTCCAGTGAGGCGGGTCAGTGCTGCACAAGGGCCAAAAAGGGAAGAAAGTCTGAGAGACTCAAAGACCAATGGACGCAGGCTTGTTTACTGGTTCTCTCTCCCATTCACCCCTCATATATGTTGAAGAAACTGGGGTGTTTGCCTTGTAGAACTTACCTCATTCAGATGTGGCTGGTTGCATCTCTGTACTGTTGGACCTGTTCTTTTGTCCTGTGTTTTGCTTTGTTTAAAAGACTACTCCATGTTCCTAGTGAAAGAGGACAGCTGACTTCCTAGGAGCTTCTGAGACCTGCTTTTCTTTCCTCTCTCCTCCTCTTCTGTTCTCAGTGTCTTGCAAAAAGTAGTTTAAAGCTGGGCATAGTAGCATACACTTTTGATCCCAGCTCTCAGGATGCAGAAACAGGCAAATCTCCATGAGTTCAAGGCCAGCCTGATCTACATATCGAGTTCCAGGACAGCCAGAGATACAGAGTAAGACCCTGGGTCTCTGAGGGGGAAATATATATATATATATATATATATATATATATATATATATACACACACACATATAGAACACACACACACACACACACACACACACACACAGACTGGAGAGGTGCCTCAGTTGTCAAGGGGATGGGCCATCTAAGTTAGGTTTTATTCCCAGCACTCATGTCAGGAGACTTAAAACAGCTTATAGCACTTGCTCCAGGGGATCTGACACCTATGGCCCCTCAGGCACCTATACTCATGTGCTCATAACCTCACACAGACATATAATTAAAAATAAAATCTTTCTCGAAAAACCAAAAAATAATAAATAAATAAATAAATAAATAAAATCATATATATAAATAACTGAGTCTAGTTAGTGTTGCCAGCATGCACATGGGGGTGGAACATTTTTCTGGGGACCTACCAGCAGCCACACCCTTAAAGAACATTGGCTCTCTTTCCCCAGCAGTCATCAGTTCTCAGTAGCTCCTTGTTGAGGGTGAGGCCTCAGGAGCCCCTCCTCCATCCACTCTGGGATTTGACTGGCTTGGTCCCAGGTACTCCCTCACAGCTGCTGTGTGCTCATGAATGTAACAGCAGTGTGTCCAGAAGACAGCACATCATAGCATCCCGCCCCATCTGTGAGACTCTTTCATTCTTCCTCTGGTCAGTCTCCTTCCACAGTGTTCCCCTCATTTTCTTCACACTCCACCCCTCCCCCT